GCAGATAAACCCTACTTGAATCTATTGTCTTAGACCCTATCATACTATTAAGTTTTTTTATAATACTAGTCGGATCCTTCTAGAACGGTAAATATATTTAACTTTTATATGTTTTATATTATTAAATATGTTTTTATTTTTTAAGTAATCTTGTACAATCTACTATATATATAAATATATGAATATATTCGTTTGTAAACTTTTTACTGAGTTAAATTTTCTGTATATATTTTTAGTTTTTTTAACTATTTTTTTCAATTTTATATTAATTTAATTTTTATAATCACTGGAATTTATCTATCATTCATAATTTTATACACAAATATTTTAAATTATTATTTTTAACATTATTAAAAATTATATATAATATGTACATATATATATCTAATTGTTTATATTTTTACTAGATTTTTAGACGTAAATATATTTTGACAAAATTAGAACCATAAAAAAGGAAAAAGGATCTTCATTCTTGTTATCTTTGTCGAGTACCACACCGAGGATCTTCACTCCCACATTTGTTGTGAGTGTAAGCGGGGTATTAGGGACCGTAATAGCCGTGACAAACACTTTAACAATGACTATGGTGTCACCTATAGAAATACAAAAAAATTGTGCTAGTTACTATAAAGAATGACCTTCGTAAACATATTAATGAATTCATATGAGTTGCAAACTTGTAACGACATACGAAAGTAAATAATATCCCGAAATATATAACAAAAAATATCCATCAACTTGTTATAGGACCATATCCTAAATATGCATATAGAAATGTTTAAAACCAAAACATAAAAATATGACTGATCACCTAACATAATCAAAACCATACAACAAAAATAAGCCACCAAAGGAGCTTATACAGCACCAGAAACCGTACAACTATAAATAAACCATACCGATGAAATCCTCCTACAATGTAAATAACATGACAGCCCCTATAGCAAAAGATAACCACCAAACAGGCCTTACAACAACAATAAACCATACAATTACGTACCTTATACCCAAATAACAGCCCTTACAACAGCATAATCAAATACAAACATAACAATCATACACAAGTATTTGACATGTGAAAGGAATGTTGAATTTATGCTGGAATTGGGCAACGAATTATTGTTAAGTAAACAGCGGGACAAACGCAACATTGACAAAGAAGGAAGCATGTTGAGTACGTTGATAAAATTTCTATTTTTACCCAGGTGGATCCCACTCAAGTCAAGACGCTCCACTGATGACAAATGGTAAAGCCATGATTTATCACTGGGTGTCAAGCTATTATGGTTGAGATCTGTTGGGCTTTTATTTTCTCTGTTTAAGCCCAAATCTTGGAAGCCCAATACTTAATAGGGTGTGAGTAAATAAAGAAAAAGGTGCAGCAGCCGATTGTGAGTGAGAAGAAAATATTAAAAGTGAGTTCTAATAATTGAGTCTGGGTGAGTGTTGATTAGAAAGAAACAGTTCGAAATTGATTTGTTCACTCGCCCAGACTCAGGAAAATTGCAGTCGTGAAGTTGTCCGTGGTCGGGTTGATCGGAAATTTGAATTGCAGCTTCTGAAGACGTATTTCTAATTTCTGAATGGTGGAGATCGGATTTTGACGGCTGGATTGCTGGAAAATGACTGCGAACCGACTGCAGTTTTTGGCTGTGATTTCTAATCTTTCATCCTTTTTTGTATCTTGTTGGAGTTTAATACTTCTTGGGCTCTTAGCGTCATCATATTTGATGATTGGAGACTTTGTTGTAAGCAATCCTTGTTGATTAATGAAAGGTTTGGTGGACAGGTGGTCCCTTGGTTTTTCCTCTTTGATTTGGAGAAGTTTTTCACGTAAATATAGTGTGCGTTTAGTTTTTCTTGCTTTATATGCTTTTGATTCCATTGTACATTGGTGATATTGATTTGGGAGTCTTGCGAGTTTTTTACAAGTTTGGGAGAATTTATATTTGTTCAATTTATTTGAACTTGTTTGTGTCCGTGGGAAAATTGGTTTAGGTTCCTTGTTTTCTCCTTATCAGAGTGGTATCAGAGCACAGGTTGTTGCGGGGTTATCTGCTTGAAAGAAATATGGATCCAAAATTGTAGTCGGATGATTTGTTTGAATGGTAAAAATTATCACAATTGGAGTGGCAAAACGAAGGATTTGTTGTTTGTTAAAAGCTTCCATTTGCCTGTTTTCGGTAATACAACAAACCGAGTGATTTTCATCAACATCTCCACCCCAATTGCTATCCGAATATCCCATCATCTTAAATTCTTTCGTCTTGGAATACAACATACCGAGTGATTTTGTTCCACGAATGTATTGTAAAATCCTTTTCAATGTCTTCCACTGCGAGTATCTCGTTTCTTCCATGAACCTACTAACAATTCCAACACTCATCTCCAAATTTGGCCTCGTGCAAGTGAGAACGAAGACTTCCCACCAAACTTCGGTACAAGCTTTCATCGGCTCGGTCTTCATCTAGATACTTAGAAAGCTTTGTGCGCGGTTCCATCAGCGTTGACACTAGATTGATGTTCGCCATATTGGTCATTTTCAAAATTTCTTTAGCATATGCTTCATGCGGCACAAAAATACTGATTTCGCTTTGTTGTATCTCTGAACCAAGAAATATTTCATCTTTTCAAGATCTGTCATTTCAAATTCATGATTTATTGCTTTCTTGAACTCTTATATCATCTTGACAATGTTTCCCATCAAAATGAGATCATCCACAAAGAGAGTGACAAATAACAAGCCTCCTTGGTTGTTCTTCACATAGATTGCATGCTCAAATTGAGATTAATAGAACTCATTCTCCTTGAAATAGGTGTCAATATGAGCATTCTATACTCACGGTGCTTTCTTGAGCACGTAAATTGGCTATTTTCGTTTCAACAGCTTGTGCTCACTACCAACTTCAATGTACCCAGGAGGATGTTCGAGGTACACCTCTTTTTTAAGCACACCATTTAAAAATGCAGATTTGACGTCCATTTGAAATATTGGTCATTCGAATTGGGCAGCATGTGCAATTAACAAATGATTTATTTTCATCCTTGTAACCGAGGCGAACACTTCATCATATTCGATTTCACCATTCGCATTCAACTTTTTTTTTGAAAACCCATTTTACTCTGATGGGCTATCCACCTTTCGGTAATTCCATCAACTCCCAGTTTTACTGCATTCAATGGCGGCGTAAATTTCGTCATCCATGGTTGTTCGCCACTTCTCACCTTTCACAGCCTCTTAAAAACTAATATTCTCAGCATCAACCAATAAACAAGAAAGATGTACCTCATAGTCATATACAAGTCCTGCAACGATTTCCACCATTGATGCCTTGGTTCATCCTCATCATCATTACTTTCCAGAGCTGAAATATTTTTTGGGATTTCTATTTGATGAACATGTTGTGTCTCTCCTTTACATTGATCCAAACCCACTCAGCTCCTTCATCAAATAGTACATCCCGACTCACTATAATTTTCTCATTTGTCGAATCAATTGTAGCCTTTTGTTTCCTCATCATAACCAATGAAAACGTATTTCTTGCTCTTATCTTCTAGCTCTATTCTCCGCTGATCCGGAATGTGTGCATATGCAATACAACCAAACACTTTGATCAATCTGGCGCATCCTAGAATGAAACATCGATTCTAGATGATGTGATTGAGTTGAATAAGTAGATTTTAGTAGATTTGATTAAGAGAATATTGTGGAGTTAAAATGCTTTTTTTTTTTTTTTTTTTCATATTTGACATTCTTACTTTGTTGAGATTGTATACGTGTGTGAGATTGAATTTAAAGAGTAATTTAGAAAAACAGTAAAGTGTAGGGAAGAGTTAATCTAAAGGGGGAATATGGGAATTGAGTTAGTAGACATTGTAGGTGTGAAAGAATGTGCTAGTAAATTCGACTTGAGAGATAGTGCGGGATTTTTGAGGGCTATGATTCACAAAACAACTTTGTAAGTTTGATTCGTTCAACTATGAGTATTAATCTTCTTCAATTGGTACCCCAGACGTAGATCTTTGATGGCAGACCTGGATTAACAATTTTGTGGGTCCATATTATTGTTCATAGGGTGTTCATAATGTTTGATGGGTCTAGGAACTATTTGTGGCTAAATATGTCCGTATAAATCTGTTTAGGGGATTTTGGTGTTGTGTTTATTTTTTTGTTCGTTCTTTGTGTTGTGAATTTGTTGCTGAGGATTTTGAAAGAATATGGGATCAACAACTGAGATACAATCTGTAATTATTTACGAAGATCCCTAAAGACTTTGTATAATTCAAACAAGATAAATATTGATGAGGATCCCTAATTACAGACATACAAATGTAAAAGAAATCACATATTATTATTATTATTATTATTATTATTATTATTATTATTATTATTGTTGTTGTCGTCGTCGTCGTCGTCTTCGTTGTCATATGTCTATTTTCTCATTTTATTATCCTATCTCAAGCAAGATGTTTGATAAGGTTCGAACTTTAGGTTATTTTCATATAATGCCGGAAAAGCATTTTTATATCATCAATCAGACAATTTATTATATATATTTTTTTTCTTCAAAATTTTTATCACATGATATAAATATAAATAAATTGTGAGATGAATTGTGCATAATTAGCACCCCCCGAGTTTCAATTGACACAATTATAATGAATATAAGTTAAAAGTAAATTGGCATCTATAGTTACAACTGTGCATCCACTAGCTTTTGTGATATGAAAGTATGATTATTTGTGGTTTTTTAATTAGTGCTCCATATGTGTATTAAAAGATTCTAAAGTTATGTGGGATGGGAGTAAGTAATTAATTGTTTGAAATATGCTGCATCACTAACTTCACTTTAATTATACAATTATTGGTGGTACCTTTTCATTAATGATAAAAAAATTATCTTTCTATTCTTTATAATAAAATTATCTGGTTCTTTTGCAAAGTGGTTTCTTTAGGTCATGTAACATGATAACAAATTTCAAACAATAATAATAATTGTCATCATTATCGAACAAATTAAAACTGTTCAATTTTTGCCACAAACTTTCCCTTAAGCTGTTCGTTTTCTTCTTCTGCTTCTTTTATCCTTCAGCTCGCTTCGATTGTTAAAACTGCAATATCAGTCATTCAACTCTTGAATGCCTCAGAAACAAACCAGAAGAAGCAATCCACAACCTGTCAAGTATTTCTACTTGTTTTTGAGGTAAACACAAACAAAGAAATAATATTAGTTGTTGTTATATTTTCATAATCTTAGGGTGTTTTTGTTCGGGGGTTTGGATTTTGGGTTCAGATTTGAATAGTTAAAAATTTAAATTTGAATAGTTGTATGATGCGATATAAATAGGTGTTGATGTGATATTTTAAATGTAAAATTGATTTTTTAGTATAATATAAAAAATAAAAAATAAGTGTTTAATTTGATTATTTAGAGGAAAAAAATAGGATGAATAGTAAATTTAAAATCCAATCCCCCAAACGAACACACTCTTAATATCTGTAACTAATTGTTAGTGAAGTTGAGCTGCCTAAATCCAGTTACTTTCAATTTACAAATAAAATAAATTTGTTATGAGTTTCCACAAACACAAGCTTTTCCATTCTTTTGTTTGTCTTGCAATGCCTTTTATCTGTTGTTTACTAGGGATAGGAATGGTTTTGCGTAGACCCGAAACTCGAACCGAACCCAACTTATTTATTTTGGATAGTATCCAATTTTTCGGATATCGGGTTGGTATTGTGTACCACTGCTAGAATTTTAGAAATTGGCCTTGGAAAAAACTTCGGAATTAATTCGGAAACTACAAAAAAATAATATAAATAATATTAAATAATTTAAATTATAATTGTTTTGGAAATAAAGAAACCACTAAAAAATAATATAAATAATATTAAATAATTTTTATTGTAATTGTTTCGGAAATTCCGAAACCATTTTTTATATAATATTATATATTTTAAAAGATATAGGATGTTCGAGGCCATTCCATGACCATTGCTATAAGCTTTCGAAATTTCCGAGTCCATTTTAAATGGTCTCGGAATTTCTGAACCTTTATTATTTATATATTTGTTTTTAATAAAAAAAGCTCGGAAATTTCCGAGTCCTTTAATGGGTCTCGGAATTTCCGAAGCTTCAGTATATATATTATTTATATTTAATTAATAAAATTGTTTCGAAATTTTTGAAGCTTTATTATATATTATTTATATAAAATGAGTTAGATAGTCTCGAAAATTCTGAAACTTTTTTATATATATATATATTTTTATTAAAAAGTTATCTCGGAAGAGACGGCAGAGTCTCCTCCTCTTTCTTCTTCTTCTGCGGCTCCAGCGGCAACGGTGGCAGCGGCAGCTGATTCTTCCTCTGATCTTCCTCCGGCGGCGACAGCTCCTACATCTTCATCTTCGTCTCCGGCGGTGGTGGCGACTGCGGTGGCAGAGCAAGCGGGGTGGCAGAAGCTGAGGCTAGACGCAGGGAAGAAAAAATTATTTTTAAAAAAGAAATGCATAATCTAATTATATATTTATTTTTATATTATACATTTATTTTTTAAAAAATAACTTTCATAATTGCTTCGGAAATTCGGAAACAAAACAAATTCTATTTCCATGCCTGGGTCTGCAACTTCGGATTTGATCTTGGATAATAGCTTTCGGAATTTCCGATACCATGCTAAAAGGGCAACGAAATTTAATCTCCGGACATCAATCCAAGCCAAAATCCCAGGGTTTAAAAAAAATAGCCTAAGATCTATTTCAATTTTGGAAGCTATTTTCTAAAGAAAAAATTGGTTGTTTCTCATAGTGTACCTTTGTGGGGTCCATGTTGGGTTTCAGGTCCAAGGGTGGACCTTTTCAAGATGTGGACCCAATTAATATATTAATAATATATCAATTATATATATAAAAATTAATAATTTATAACGTAAATTTTATTAAAAATATTTTTTAGATGAATTTATGTATTTTTACTTATTATAATATTTTTAAATAAAACGCATAAATTTTAATATATATGGGTCTGGGTCTTAGTTCAGATTCAATTTAAGTTAGAATTTAAAAATTATACTCCCTCCGTCCCCAAAAATTAGTTACACTTTATTTGTAAATTCGAAAAGAAGTTTAACTAGTTTTTGTGGAAGGAGGGAGTAAAAGTTTTTCGGATTTTTCGGATCGATTGGGTCATGCTGGGTGTAGTTCTGATCGGGCCAGGTATAGCTGAATCCAATTCGAGTCTTCGGTCCAGCAATGTGTATCGGGTCGAGTTAAGGTTCGGGTGGATCAGACCCTTTGCCATACCTTGGTGCTTTTCCCTCTCCTTTTGGATAATAAAAGTAGTGGCCGATTATGGCAGGCGTAATTTATGGCTATAATGATAGTCATAAATATTATTTTAATGATGGTTATAATTATTGTAATTAATGACAATTATTATTGTTGTTAATTACATCAAATGATTGACTTCCACTGGATAACATTTTATCCGGATAGTCTTCACCTAGGCCAGTATATTTTTTACTTTGACTTGTACTTGTCTTGAGACTGTAAATAATTTTGGGATAAGTATTGGACTTCGAACAAAACTTGATCTCATCAAGTCAAACAGTTTCCAAGCCTCAAGACCTATGATTCTCTAGCCATGACCTATTAGCCGTTTAGGTAGTTGGGCAGCGTCTGCGCATGTGGCTCACTCGTACTCACATGCTTCGACTACACTTTTTGATACCCTAATTAGCCAAAACCTTAATTATTTTTAAGCCCACAAGTAATTGAGTAAATTTCAATTCATTCACATATTTCAGTCAAAGCATTTATATTCTCAGAAAAATCAAATTTGAGAAATTTTGAATTTAATTTTTCATAAATTAAATTCCTTCTATTATTCAAACTAATAAATTCAACAATCTCCGAAATTAGTGGAAATGTCAATATTTAGAACATATGCACAAGTCAGTTCCAAAGAGACATTGGCACGTTAGAACATGTAGCTTGTGGCTTTGAACTGTTTTGCTTCAATGTAACCCCAGTAGAAAATATTGGTGTGTCGTTATATCAACTTAATTTTATTCTTACATTTTGATCTATTTCGGCTATCAGTCGCGTTGTTGCATTCATTTGTGTTTCTTGAAGCGAAATACGCTTCACACTTACATAGAGCTCTACAAAAAAAATAGTATATTTGTAGCGGAATTCTGTTCTTAAAGTTCACGTAGCTAATGTAATTTCATCTCTAATTCCGTCTCTACTATCATTAGTAACGGAAAAAGTGGATTTAGGAACGAAAAACATCGTTACAAAATTGATATTTTCTTGTAGTGAAATAATTCTATCTTAAAATATTCTAGTCACACTTTTACGGTTATTAAAAGTTATCGGTCCAATATCACTACTTTTTAATTTCTTAACACTTGTTGCTTTTAAGGGAATGATGATTGAGTTTTCGCACTGAACGTTTACAACTTATTTTTTCCCATTGAACCTAGATGTGTGTCTCCAAATGATTTAGTTGGGTTATCATTGTAATCGTCTCTAACTTGTAGATTTGAGGTCCATTTCCACAGTAATTTGTATATTTGATCTTTTTATAACTCTTTGGTTAGTGGATTCACTAGATTTTCTATTGTAATCACATGGACTATATTCAACCCCAACTCATGATCAAATGTCTTACAGAATTGTGGCTACACTAAATATGTCAAAATTTAATATTGTAAATTCCGTTGTTAACCCTAGATATTGCAGCTTCACTTTCATAGTGATTCATCACTAATAGTACCGGTTTAGTCTATTATGGAATGTCATTAATGAAGTTTTGAAGACATTCCGGTTTTTTGACGGGCTTAATCTAAAGCAATGAACTCCGATTCTATTATGGACCATGCAATACATTTCCATTTTGTGGATTTCTACGAAATAGCTTCCCCTCCAATACAAAGTCAATGAGTCTTTCGTATTGGATGTCAAATTGAAATCACAATACCCTTCAAGTTGACACAGCCCAATTAACTAAACTATACTAACCGAAACTTAAAAATAAATTCAAATAAAAAACTAAGTAAAAAAAAAATATTACCGGTGTCCGATTCGTCAATCGATCGGATGTGAACCCAAGCGTTGCCTAGACCCAACACCTCTAAACCAATGGAGACTCGAACAATTTGCCTAGAAACTCCGGTCGGTTTCGGAAGCCACGAACCCAAGGACCCGATTTGAGAATGATACGCGTATGCAAGGGTAACCCTCGCTCACACACTAATTCCAATATAATGGAATAAAGAGAAAAACTTTAATTGATATAAGTTTCAAGGTGTCTAACAAGTGAAGCCAAGTGTCTTATTTATAGGGGAGATTAGCTTGACAAAAGACTATACAACCAATGTGGGACAAAAATATATATTATTTATATCCCACTAATTAAGTAAATAAGAGATGTCCAATTAATTAGATTGAAGGGACCCACCTTATTAAATAAAATAAAACACCTCTTATCCCACATGGGTAATGATGTAAGTAGAAACTCCAATAGGTGTTATAAATTGTGGTCTTCAAGGGTGGATGCACTCCAATGTTGATAACGTTCTTCCCATTGGCCTCCATGCTTCAACTTTATGCATGTTCTCCTCTTCCAAGTGTAGAACTAATGCCATAATATTAGTTTGAAACTTTTTGGCACGGATTCGAGTAATTGGACCTGGTGGTAGTGCAGGTTTATCGTCGCTTTTGACGACCTCGTCATCCCCCCCTTCTTGAAAAATTGAGTCCTCCGTTTTCATAGTATGTTCATCTCTTACATCAAAAGAACTTAAGTCAGCAACGTTGAAAGTGCTATGAACTTGGTACTCACCTGGTAGCTCAATACGATAGGCATTGTCATTTATGCGTTCCACAACTTGGAATGGCCCGTCTCCTCTTGGGCTCAGCTTAGACTTTCTTTGAATGCATCTCCTTCACAAATTCAGCCTGTTTCCTGCCATCACTATTAAAATACTCATTGCTAGGCAATGGTAAAATATCCAAAGGTGTTAGAGGATTAAAGCCATAAACAATCTCAGAATGAGACATGTGTGTCGATGAATGAAACGTACGATTATATGCAAATTCAGCATGAGGCAAACATTCTTCCCAACTTTTGCAATTCTTTTTTATCAAGACACTAAGTAGGTTCCCTAAGGTTCTATTCACTGTTTCAGTTGGACC